ACACCATCATCATCATCATCAATGAACACAAACACAGTGCTGCCACTGATGCTTCACTGCCGTACACCCAACCCCAATATCTCGACCGCTCGTGTCTAGGCTTGAACAATCTACCAGTATCCCAGCACTTGTGCAGCCTCCAACTAGCATGGCAGCCATGCACCGAAATGGTGTTAAAGCTGAGGTTATTGGTTTTTGTAATGTACTACTCGTAAGGTTGCTGAAAATCCGTCGATCTTATGAGTAGTATGTTACAAAGATATACATATATCGCGATATTTCAAATATCGTAGCGACTGAAACATGAGGCAGCCTGGTGCAGCATATTCAGTTGCCTGAGAACATCATAAACGAGAGATTCAGCTGGGTTCCAGGTGAGTCTCTCCAAAAAACCAAATTAGTTTGCAAATGAGTGTATATTCGCTGAGGTTATTTGATTTTACCCGCGCATGCTTTCAAACCCAATGGGACATGGCATGTGAGCCATCTTAGTGACAAGCTTGTTGTCAAATCCCAGCCGGATTGACCACGTTGAGTTTGCCTGTCACTGAGCGCGGCTTATGGGTGAGGTTCACAAAAGATTTTGAGTCGATCCCGCAGATCGTGTTTTACTGCAACATGACTTTCAGATTTGTTCCGGAGTTCTGCTATATAAAAAATGGGTTCTTCGCAATAAGCCTCCTCTCTTTCTTTGGTTTCTATCAAGGCCCTCTTTCTACATGGTCATATGACAGCTAATCCCTAGCCTAAATTATTGATGTATTGCTAATGATGATAATGCTACGGAAAGCCGAGTTCAAAAGAGCTGTGGTTGAAGCGTGAAACCAATGGCAAAAACGCCCATAGTTCCAACCCGACCATCGCATTCGGCTGCTCCAGTCAAGTCTTGGACAAATTAGCACTATCTGTGTCTCTGCTTGGTAACGGTTCGCGGGAAGGGTGTCACTGTGTCACTGTTTTTGCCTCACCATGAAGCGACCGACGGCTAACTATGTGCAGATAATAATCGTTCAGCTGTAACACTTTCGGTGCCTAGCTGCCATGCAACCAGAAGGAAGCACGAGGGCTGGAATACCGCCAGGATGCCCAAGACTAGACAGAGGAAGTCAAGAGCCAGAGGTAGGATTCGAATGACGAGCCTTCCGGTCAGTAAATTCGTACTCTAACCATTGAGCCACCTCGCCACCCTACGTGCAGACAAGATTACCCTTTTCGATCCCACTGAAAACGTTTTCCGGAGAGTTTTAATAGACTAAGACGGTGACAAACATTGTTGCCCGCCGATTGTACACAAAGTGTAACAGGAGCAAACGTTAAGTGGAATAACACTATATGTATGTCTTATGGACAACAAGACAGCGTCACGAAGAGACTGGACCTTACCGTAGTGTAGCGGTTTGTGTACCTCGGCAATTGGGGGATGTCCGCGCAACACTCAGAGTCTCCCATACCAGGTTCGTCAATGGCTAGAGGTCTGACGAACACAGTCTCCTGGCCCCTCAAACTTAGGGGGAGTTGAAACGTGAGGCGACGTGTTCCATAAAAATGGCAATGTACTTGCATTTCCAGTCATACACCTCTACTTTGCGGTTAGGATTTTGAGTTAAAGGCTTTGGTTAAGGAGCCTAATCATCCTCCTATCTAAAAGTGGACACTCTGGCAGTATTCCAGCCCACATACAACCATGACATTTACAGTTAACAGAACTCTTATGTCAAATCAGCCATCGCGAGATGCCATTAGCCGAATCACCTCACATGCTGCACGCAGCAGAGCGGGTAGCCAAAACATGCTACCACTGAGGCCTCCCTTCTTTCTCTTTCACATAGTTCTCCTTCTCCCCACCCTATTACTACCTCTTCTATTGTAGGCCCAGCACTTAAGACTGTTGACTATGTTCGTCTTGCAGCTGTTGTGCGCGCAGCATCTGCTCGTCACATGGCGCCGACATTCTCAGGTATCTCCAAATGAATCTTCAAGCTTCGCAACCCAGTCTATCCGGCCACCTTCAACGTTCGCACTCTGAGGCAAACTGGACAACAGGGTGCTCTTGCCCTCACGCTGGACCCGCTTGGCATTGATGTGTGCTGTGTCTCAGAAACGAGAATTCAAGATTCAAGCACAGTGAGTGAGCTGACTGCTCCGTCAGTCTCCATTCGCTCTCGGCTGTGCACCTCTGGTGATCCAGAGGCTGCTGCGGCGGGATGTGCAGGGGTTAATATCGTCCTGATCCATTGGGCGGAAGTGTCCTTTCTTGACTGAATAACTGCTGATAGTCGTCCTTGTAAGGTTCGCCTGGTAACGTCTTTGAAGGAGTCTCACAAGCGGCAAGTTGATAGACGTCTGCTTGGGCCCCAACTGACTGTGGTTTCGACACCGTCGAAGACAAGTTTTGCGACGCCCTGAATGCCCTGTCGCGGCTAGTTGAAAACTCGGATATCGGTGTTGGCTGCCGGAGATATGAATGCTAAAGTGGCCAGGCTCGGAGTATCTGAGACTCAATTAGGATGTCGGCATAGATTGGACTCGGTATGGACGGACAATGATGAACGATTGTTCCAGCTGTGTGCTGATCACAGGCTATTTTTATGCAGTACTAACTTTCGAAACAGCCGAAGCCGTCTGGCCACATGGTGTCCACCAACGACATGTCGGTCACAAACTCAAATCGATCACATTGCCATCAGTTACTGATGGCGTGGATCAATAACTGACTGTCGGTCGTTTTGGAAAACATTTGTGGATTCCAACCACATACTCGTCCGGGGTCGCTTCTCCCTACAAATTGCATGGTACCTGAGAAACTGGCAGACGAACTTACCAGAATCATCCTGTAGAGTCTCTCTTCACTATCAGATGCGAACTCGCACTGGGACGAGATCCCCACCTCTTTGCATGGTGCTGGGAATTTTACCAGTGACACGGCATCACCAGGCTCACGCACACACTGGATAAAAGACATACAGTGGCATTGCTTAAATTTCGGAGAAATATCCCAGCCGGTCCCGAACATAACTTGATGCGACCACCGCAAACCACCTAGTGAAACACTGAATCGAGATCAGTGAGCCGGATTCCGGTGTGATATGGGTTGCGTTTACCAAATCTTCCCGCTCCATCAGATGCTAGAACAACGCCATACTTATAAGCGACCCACAATTCTAATGTTCCTGGATTTCCAAGACGCATTCAACTCGTTTAACCGGTCTGCTCTAATTGGCACGCTTTCCCGCCAATAAAAGCCCCGGAAGTTTATGAACATAATTAGCGCTTTGTATTACACACACTTCCGGACATGTGAGTATACGGCGAGCTCTCCAGAAGCTTACGTACACAAAGCAGTGTCCGTCAGGGAAGCCCACATTCTCTATTCTTTTTTAACTTTGTGATCGATGATATCATGAGACGAACGCTGGAAGGTCTTCAAAACTCTGGTGTCCAAACAGCATCTAACGAAAACCTTGTCGAGCTGGAGTAGGCAGACGACATCGTTGTTGTCTTCGAAGAGGAAAAAGCGCAGGTGTTTTTGGATGAACTGACCGAAATCATCCCGTCATTTGATATGCACTTTGCACCCACAAAGTGTAAGGTCATGCTCTTGGACATAGTCACCGAACGCGCTACTTACAATTCAGGGAGAGGCACTGGAGGTTATAGTGTGACAGATGAGGTCAATGCACAAATCCGTATGGTCAGGTCACTTTTGGTAACTTAAGACACCTATGGCGTCAAACTGATGTATCCCTGAATCTCAAAGGACGTGTATCAAGCTACAGTGAGGGCTGTTTTGTTGTACGATTGAGACGGCCTACTCGGGCAGCTGAATTGAGACGTTTTCAGGTGTTCGATAATTGTCTGAGAATCAGCCCGTGTGCGTTGATGTCAACCTATCAGTAATGAGACAAGTAGAAAGCGAGTTTTTAGCTGTGCAATGGGTACTTCCATTGAGAAATGTGCCCCGCATCAGAAGATGCGTTGGTTGGGACATGTTTCACCTAGGACTAACTATTGTTTGCCGAAGAGAGTGCTGCTTCCCATGCCCAATTTAGAGTGGCGACTAACCCTTGACCTGGCAGAGGGGTACGAAGAAGATTACGAAACGCTTGAGTGCTACCCGCTTTCCAGGATAGGGACCGCGTGATCATCAATGAACTTGTCTAGACGCTACCAAAAGATGTTAGTGATAACCTTGTTGTCAGTTTCTATCCCGATTGCCTGAATAACTGGAGGTGTAGGACTGTTTGTAGTAAGCTACCACCAAGTTCGTTTCCCATCCATCTATATTCCTTTCTTCACAGTAAAGCTTTCAAATAAATCATGGTTGTCCGGTAGCGAAGCGTCGGTGTTGAACACTGATATGCTGTCGGTGATGATGACTCATGTGGTGTTTACTACTGTTTCCATAGGGGAATAAGCCTGAAAGTTCACTTCCCTCTTGGCGTAAACAACTCGAGGGCTTTAAACAGAATTAGGTGAACTTCGTGGAATCCAAGCATCAATGTCAATAGGGATGCCGCTGTCTTTGACGATGGTAACGAAGTGTAAGACACTCTGAACACTGGTAGGGATCAACGCTTGCATTCACTATGGACGGCGCAAAGCCCAGTTTCAACAGCTGTTTGCTTGTACCAGGTGGTGGAAACGAAGGGGCACAAGACATTTTGGTGATTTCCATGAATGTACGGATTCGATAACACTCCTCTCTGAAGCCCATGACTTAAGAACTAGTCCGAAATCTGTTGTCCACAAGCACCCCGTGAGCTGACTGTTTATGAGCATTGCTGTTTGCTCAACAGCGCACCAAATCAAGAAAGCCGAAAATCCGCGCTAACAAGTTTTTCACGGTACTTTCTTCCCTTGCCTTGATTAGTCTGATACTAAATCCGACCTGACTGCCCCTTTCAGGCTGTCAATGACGCTTAGACGTTCGGCACCCAAAACTTGGTACGTATGACTTCGAGCCGAGACACGAAATGTCACGGTACAGAATACTGACTCACCGGTTGTTCCAGATCGAGCCCAGTAATTCAAGAGATTCTTTAACTCGATTTTGACTGGGGTCTTCTCGTAAAACCATATTGTAGGAAGAACACGCTGCAACAAAAATGATAGCCGTGACATCGTTGAAGCATTGAATCCATTTCCGACGCTCTTCCCTCTGACCACCCACATCGAACATGTGGAAATTGACCTTGTCAACACTGAACTTCGTTTCGAAAATTCCTGATGTTAGAACTCGGCAGCGTAGGATATCCTGCTCGGATGGAATGTAATCTGGTCGCCCCAGTTCTTCGGTTTTATCAAGGAAGCTAGGGATTGGCTGATTGTTGAATAAGCACTCACTATTTTGCACAGTCTATGAGTTGATATTCGTTAGACCGTTCAAAGGTCTCCTGGATACCCTTGTCCTGCCATAGCTTAGCACAATACGTGTAGAACTCCTGAAGGAGTATGAACACTAGATGGAGAGAACCAACCGGAGGGTATTCGAAATCCGGTTTGGAAGCATGCTCCAGGATATAATCCCGGAGTTTCCTGTTCTCTGACCGCTCCAATTCAACTGGTGGCTTGATAGAATTCATTGCACCGCATATGGACTAAAAGTTTATATATAAGCGAGGTCACATACACATATAGCATCCCTAAGATTCTTCCGAATGGCCTCGATTTTTTCACGTTTTTCGCTGAAAAGACGGTCAACAGGTACTTGGAAATTACCTCTCTGAGAAACCGTCAATGTGCAGGATTCGCATTTGCTTCACAATAGTAGACTTTCCGGACTCCCCAGCCCCTGATGTGAGTGAATTGGAATGACGAAAAACCAGCGTACCTAGCAGTAACAGCCGATGAGTAGATTTGAAATTTTTCTTCTCCTTCTCTATTAATTTTTCTATCTGCTTGCTTGCCTCATTCAGGTTTTTAGCCTCTTCCGATAAGCTGCTCAGCGCACAGCAACCCACAACCATTTTGAAGTCGGACAGAGTCAATCCCACCAACCAACGACAGACGGAACGAGCTCAACGGATGGAGGCCGCATCCGCGGCGAAACAGGAGAGCATTGACGCCAAAATCCGATGGACCATTCAAACGAATTCAACGGTCACAACCATACACAAAAAATCACCTCTCAAAGTGTGGATTCTACAAATGCACGTGCACACTCTTAATAAGCTCGGTACATTTTCCTCCAAGAGAACGCGCGTTTTTTAAATAAATCTGGAAGAAACCGGTGGCTGATTCGTAGACGCACACCCCAAATTTCAATGAAACCGTAGTTTGAACGGAGGAATATTCAACATAAAGTTTCACCATTTGGTGATATTTATTCTTACCCCAAGGCAGCGCAGTTTTGTTGGAAGCATGTTGTTAAGCATACCCCAGACCCAGTTTGGGCGAGGGACTCATATTTTGGTGACTGTCATTTGCTTCCCGTGATTTCTCAATGAAGACGGTGGACAATTCTTTAAGCATACCCCAGACCCAGCTTGGGCGAGGGACTCATATTTTAGTGACTGTCATTTGCTTCTCGTGATTTCTCAATGAAGACGGTGGACAATTTTGTGGATAATCTGGTTCCATCACAGGTTTCCGGTGGGGGCAGCATTGTTGCCAGCGCGAGGATTTGCATAAATAAATGTCTAATGGTGCTTCAAACTGGGTTCTAGAAGGAGCATGGGCAACCGTCAGATGATGGTTATTCCAAGCAGCCACTGTTCAATATGAGAAGACATTTTGCTTGATGAAAGGCCGCGCTCTGAGTTTTAAAATCTTGTTGCCAAGTCTCCACTGTGTGTTTGCTGGGTCAACGATGCAAAACCTGATTGCCAAGCCTTGTTCAAACAGGGCAAAAGTAAGAATTAGGTCCCCTCGGAGGCGACGATGCTCCATGGGAAATAGGTCAAGCCAAGCGAAGCCTGCTTCGTAGTCTAAGGATTTGGGCCCGGCAACCATTTTCGTCGGACACGATCAATGAGGGTCATGTCTATCGCGCATTCTGATTATACGACGGTTGGCATATTCGAGGGGCCTTCTGATGTGGGCCCAACAGGGCAGTTGGAAGTCCATGAAAGTAATACGGAAGAGGGTGCGCCAGATCATCCGTAAAACGACCAGTATCTTCTTGGGTATTTTCTCATGGTGAAATGAGAAGAGTAAGCTTGACGGGTGCCACATAACCAAATCCATTCGGGTGTCTATCCTCATGAATTATTCTGTTCCTTTCTCAGCATGCATGACGTAGGTGATGATTCCCCCTGTGAATCAACGGTGAACAAGGGTACCTTTCCTTGTTTTCTGACTACTCGTGAGTAACATGACTTACACCTGTTTATTATGATACCGTTTCGTTTTCTTGCTGGTCGTTCCCCCCCCCGCTTTGTTCCTACATAAGATCTGCTTATCCCTCAGTAAGTGATGTCAATATTTGTTGCCCGTCNTATTCACGAGCGCCCACTCCGACGGAAAATCGAGTTGACCGGGCATCGAAACCGTATTCACCGGACGGCAGGCAAACGCGCTCCCGACTACACCGATCTGACACCCGGAGCGGCTGATTATTTTGTATTACCCATGTACCACGCCTGCCAGATAGCCCCTGTTGACCCTTGTTCTAAACGGACGAAACCGCGCAATCTGACCTGTCGCGCGACACGAGCGGCTGCGTCGACGCCGACCGAAAGACAGTCCCTCACACTCCGAACGTACTGACTCCTGCGCCATCACGCCCAACTCACACTGTCAGACTGCCCCTATATAAATCCGTGCTGTGACAGTGACTACTTCCCGCTCCTGCTGATTGCGTCATTGCTGATTGTACGTTTTCTTAATTCATGATGCTTAATAATCCGTTTGTCTGTAGAACCAGTTCCTGTCAGTCCTCAATATATCAGCTGCTGCCCCACGTCTGTCTGCTCCTATCGACTACTGGCTGCGAACTGCGTATAATCCAGTAGTCGCAATCGTCCTGTGAGATCCATAACCGTCCGGGTCTTACAATATGCATTCTTTGAGTCTCCTACAAATGACATATTGACGCACTTTTCTTCACTCAGAGGGAGCGGCGTTTCCAACGGCCGGTGCTTTGCAGCGTCTGCATCCGTATGGAGGGCACTGGCATTGGAACTCCACGATTTCAAGTCGTCCGCAAAAAGAATTTATCGACTTGCAAGAGCATCTGGAAATTCATCGACGTATATCAGAAACAGCGACCCTCCGAAAACGGAGCCTTGAGCAACGCAAATGCAGACCGGCGCTGGAGAATAGTAGGTAGGGTCTACTTTCACTTGGAATGATCTGTCTTATCCAGTGTTGCATTTTGCCTTGAACCCCGTAGGATTCGTGTTTGTGGAGCAGCGGTACGTGTGGGACTCGGTCAACTACTTTTGAAAAATCGAAAAATACGGCATCCTATATGAGTCTCTCGTCCTTGGCCTGATTTAAGCTGTATATAAACACAAGCATGTTCGTCACGCAAGAACGGTTTAGGAGAAATACCTGTTGACCTGGAGATATCAAGTTGTTGGAAGTAAAGTGGTATGGGATAGCTTGCTTTAGAATGCATTCCATTATCTTGCACGGCACACTAGTGAGCCTTTAGGCCTTAGGCTGCCAGGAGATATTCGAACACCAGTTTTATAGATTGGCGCGACGATCGTTTCCTTCCAAGACGCGGTAAGGCGGCCTCCGTCAATCGACTAAAGAAACACCAGGTATAAATGATTAACCAGTGTGAGCGTCGTTTCATTCATCGGGCACACAATGGGTTATTCCTTTGCAAGAGATGACGAATGTCCTCTACATTGAACAGTAAGTCAGTTAAAGGCTTGACAAGAATGGATGTGACGAGGACGTTGGAGCTGAATATAGATCTGCTTAGTGTTCCCTGTAAACTTCAGGTACCACTGATGTGTCAATCGTGGGTCCCTGTTCAAGACAAACAAGAAGAACGTGGATGGTTTGTTACTGCGGTGATGTTTCATGTATTTGAACAACACGCCTCTGTTTTTACAGGCGAGGTCCAGAACGGTGGCTTGTTTTTTTATGTTACATTGGCGGAATTCTGATTCACAGCGTTCCCGCATTTTACGAAATCTAGTTCATCTGTGTCTCCTGTTGTCAACTGTTTGAAAAAAGTTGAGACTTCCTTTCCAGAAGACGCCGGATCATTTTAGTTAGTTTGCAGCTCATCAACTGCGTGCTGGTTTTTCAGCACGAAAATCGCGTCGACCTCGTTAGAGTTCTGGACAATGGTCCTCTATAGGTCTTTCACTGAATCTGGTCCTAGTTTAACTTGTTCGAGTAAATAACCATTGCTGAAAGTTCTACACCACAGAAGTTTTAAATGCATATTTTAAGTTTGGGATTTCGGACCCAATAGCAGATGAAATCGAAGGTCAGCATACAATGGTCACTATGTCCCGGCGGAGTATTAATTTTCACTTGATCAGCGAAGCGTCTTTCGTTGATGAACAAATCCAGGAGAGATGGCGGTATCTGGTGGGTGCAACGACGGGTTGAGTCCAAATGCACTGTGGAACGAACTCGGTCAGAGCCACTGCAAAACGTCCATTTGATCCGGCGCGCCGGAGCCCTGTTCAGGATGTCCTTCGAGCGTTGACTTCACTTACCAGCAGAAGATGAGTGAAATGGTGGCTGGAGGAGAGTTGCTCTAGGTTTTGCATGAGGAATTGGTCATCTTCGGAAGGAATCGAGAGGCAACGTAGACCACATCGAAAAGGAGAGAATCGGGCACTTGTAGCGGAAGTTGTATCCACAGTGCGTCGCAAAATGGTATAGAAGTGGTATACCGACCTCTTGATAATGCCGTTGAGAGAACCGATGGGTTAATGGGAAGAATAAGCAAAGAGTACAGTGAAATAGTCTGTGCTTTAAAGTTCTTACACAAATACAGCGGTTCCAGGTGGCCTTTAGGGCGCACGTAACGCGTAGTAGGAAAATGTTTGGGTCATGGTGAACAATAAGCAGTCCATCAGACCAGGTGTGGTAGTCGCGCTACCGCCATTGCCACGTCGTGCCTGGGTTCGTGAACGGCCGCCTGAATAAACATCTTGGGCGAGTCATCTATAGTTGTCATGGTAGTTGGGATTGGCCAAGGAATCGTGATAATGTAAGATCAGCATGGATCAGAGACTTTCTGGGATCCGTCCAGGGCGCACGATAGTTCATTGCTGCCATCCAAACGAGCAAATGAAGAATTTGTGACTATATTGGTGATTCAAAATAGGAAAAAGCATCAAAATGTATGTCAGAGAGCCCTACTGTATTTGTTATAATGCAGACCGGAATGACAGGCAGCCAAAAGAGGTTACAAACCCTTACTATTAAGGTGAGGCGGCGCTGCCTGATTTCGAAAATGGTAATCAATATTCGGGCATAGATATAAGGTGGGAGGTCGATGCAAATGGGTGTGGATATGAATGACTGAGTGACGTGCGTCGACCTAATTGTGCTCGATTGGAGCGTGTAGGAACATAGAATCAGGGAGAAACGTGAGATGTCTGGAGGTGTGGCGTACTTGTAGGCTGAGACGACCTCATAATGGCGCAGCTGCAGCGCAGGGTTTTGGAACAAACTCACCGAGGTCGTACCTATTTTACACCAACAAAGTGTGACATCATGCTCATGGACATGCAGTCACTAAACATTCCACTTACGATCCAGAGGGGGACAATGGAACTTGTGGAGCGTTTAACGTATCTTGGGGGTTGCATTGATTTTGGTTTTCATGTGACAAATCGGACCAATGTTCGGGTGTTGTTTGCTAACTTCAGGCGCCTTATAGGGTGACGACTGCCGCATCTGTTTAGAGGTGCCGCAAAATATTGATGCTAGTCGATATCAGCGGCGCTCTGGTTGCCGGTTTCTATTCGGGTTGCCGAAATGTGTTTCTGAAAGTGTAGGCACCTCGGAATGAATGTCATATGTTGGTAGTGAACCCCTTCCAACT